AGCGAATATTATAGAATGATCCACTTCCAACCAAGGTTCTATCTTTGGATTTTCATATCATATTTTTATCTCAAAACACACTTTTTTTCTAATTCTAAATATGACATATTCGAACTACATCAAATTAACTTTATCATTTTAAATTAATTATCTAAATTGATATAAACAGATTGACCATCAAGAATACTTCTCTCCCATTCTTTACCCTAGACCCAAAATATCATCGATACCCTTCAATGATCACACTTTTCTTTTATATGAGAAAATCTAACTCAAGTCGTTATGATGAGGTTTTCCTTAGATCACTATACAAGATAACTATGATCGAGATGATGTGGACTATCATCCCTCTTCTCTTCTAATTTACATAATTTATGATAATATAGAGTTTAATGATCCAACCAACTGTAACCTGTAATTCCTAATATCGTTCAGTTATGAGAGAATCCAACTTAGGTGAGGCTTTTCTTGGACTCACTCAACAAGATAAGTAACGAGGCTTTTATTGGTGTGTTAATGGCTTTAGCATTATTCAAGTAAAATCGTCTTAGTAAATCCAAAGTATATTTAGTTTGACTAATAAAAGTTATTACTTAGTTACTTAATTTATAATCCTAAAAAAAATATCAATTCTCCCATTAAACTCATTTTGAATTCGTAGCTCTTACTTTTGGCAAATGGCTCACACAAAGATTCATTTGTAGAATAAAAAAATAATATCATTAACATAAATTTGTAGAATAAAAAATAATATCATCAACATAAATTTAAATAATAAAAAAATATTTTTAAAATATTTAATAAATAATATGATATCGATTTTGTCTTTCAAAAAAATTATTCTTAATAAGAAATGAGCTAAGTCCCTCGTACCAAGCCCTTGGGATTTGCTTCAACCCATAAAGAGCTTTATATAACTTAAAAACATGGTTGGAAAATAAACATTCTCAAATTCGGATGGTTTCTCAATATAAATTTCTTCGGAAATAAAATCATTAAAAAAATTACTTTTGACATTCATTTGAAATAACTTAAAATTATTAAAATATGCATATGTAAGGAGTATCCTTATGGCTTTAAGTCTTGCCACAAGAGCGAACGTTTCTTCATAATTTATATCTTCTTCTTAATTGAAATATTTAGCCACTAATCTAGCCTTATTTTGAACCACGAAACCAAGTTTATCTTACTTATTCCTAAAGACCCATTTGATGTCAATTATCAATAGGTCTAAGAACAAGTTTCCAAACCTTATTTCTCTCAAATTGATTTAATTCTTTATACATTGTAAAAACCCATAAGTAATATTTAAGAGCATTATCAATGTATTTATGTTCAATTTGAGACAAAAAGACAGCATTTATATAAAATAAATTTAAATAAAAAATAATTTTGAACACTTTTTGATGTATCTCCATTAACTCCTTAAGATATGCATCTATATACTTTCATTCATTGACTAAGGATTCTTTAAAAGTAGATGCATCTAAGTTTCTTGGGAAAGAAGAATTCTTATTCAAATTGAATGTATTAAAATCAAAATCAAAATTATTTTTCTTAAATTCGGGAGACTCATTAAAAACAAGATGGATAGATTCCTCGATAACTAAAGTTTTTTTATTAAAAACTCGATAAGCTTTAAAAACATAGGAATATGTAAGAACCTATTTAATTTTGGGTCCCTCGTGATTGGATCTATCTATCTTAACTTTTGACGCTAAGTCATTTATGGTTCATTTAGGAACCCAAACTAATTTATACGAATTATATTTTTTAAATAAATATTTTTAAACATAATGACCATATCTATCATAAAAATTATATTTAATTTTAGGGAAAACATTTAGTTTGAGTCCTTTAACAAATATAGTTGGTGAGTGTTACTACTCACAAAGTCGATTCCTTCCTTTTTTATGTGTATGACTTTTTTTAGCAAGAATCATGTTTAATTATTTGTTTCTAATTTTAATTTTTTATAATGTTTATTGTAATAACATATTTTCTTTTTTGATTGAGTCTAACTCTTCACATTTAGTACAAGAAATTAAAATATAATTATCATATTTATTTTTTAATTTATCAAATTTAATAGAGAAAGAAATATGATCATTTTTTAGCAATTTATATTTCTTATTAACTAATTTTAATTAATTGTAGAAATCATGAAATGCATCAAGTAATTTATCATAAGATAAAGAGGTTTTAGTTGAGTCACATACCTCGTAGAACTATCAAAGTATAGTTCACCATCTCGTGTTCATTTGTTTGCTCTTCGTCTTTTGATATATTAAACTTATCCTAAGTTGAGTGCTTTCTTCTTCAATTGTGATCACTTATTTTTGAAGTGTCTTAGCTTCTTGCATTCATAACAAATGATTATGTCCTTTTTAAGTTCATTTTTATTCGTATGAGTCTTATTTGACAGAATTTATTTTATTCTTTTTTATGAAATTTTTAAATTTTCTTATGAGGAGTGTCAAGTTATCCATTAACACTTAAAGCTTTCACTCGAGTGGCCTTCGTTCTAAGTGTAAAATCCTTCATGTTCTTTGAAAGATTGTTCTCATATTCATCATGTGTCTTAAAAGTCATTTTATAGGTCATTAATGATCCTATGAGTTCTTTAAAAAAAAAGTTATTCAAGTTATTTACTTCTTGAATTGTATAGTTACCTTTCCAACTTTTTAAAAGAGATCTTAAAATTTTATTAAAAAGTTCAAGATTAGCAAAACATTTACGAAGAGCTTTCAGATCATTGACAACATTCGTAAAACGAGTGTACATGTTACCAATGGTTTCACTTCGCTTCATTCTAAATAATTCATACATATATATCAAAAAATTAATATTAGATTATTTTGCTCTACTTGTGCCTTTATGACTAACTTCAAGTATATACTAAATATCATATGCAGTTTCACATGTAGAAACCCGATTAAACTTATTTTTGTTTAAAGCACAAAACAAAACATTCATAACTTTAGTATTTAAAAAAAATATTTTTTTCTCTAGATCATTTCATTCATTCATTGGTTTAAAGGATTTTTAAAACCCACATTCAACGACATTCTATAAATCAAAATCCATAGAAATAAAAAAAATTTACATTCATATCTTCCAATATGTGTGGTCACAAGTGATAAAATGACACTCTTAATTACTAAAGAAAGTGGCTCTGATACCAACTGTTAGGCACTAAGAGGAGACGATGAATTAGTGCTTTCAAAATAGTGAAATGATATAAAATTTTATTCGAAAACCTACGTCAACTCCCAATTACTCCTCCATTAATGCCACTGATTTTTTCTTGTTACGACTCTTTTTTCCATTTTATAAGCTTAAGAAAGAACCTTTATAACCTTTTTTTTATAAGTAATCCTCACACCTTTCTTAGACTGACTTCGAAATTTAAAGAGAAAGGGACTCAACACTTAAAATCATAAATTTTTCATACTCTTTTCTTGTTATCTCAAGCAAAAATAAGTAAGATAACAAATAATGGATAGAGTATTTATAGCCCCAAATGATTGAAAAAATATAATTGAATTTTATTTAAACATAGTAAAAAAAGAATGATTATTTCTCTGAAAAAACTTCTATGTCTTTTTCTCCTCACAAAATCCAATGGTACTTTTCCTATTTTTGTTTGGTTCATCACAGGAATTTCTAATAATATTATGATTTTTTATTTAGAAGTTGAGAATATTATAAACTACTAAAAAATACAATGACAACATATTATACCATCATCGTACCGTTGATTTAGTTAAATCTAATTCATTTGGACTATTTACTATATTCTAAAATAGAATTTACTTAAATAAATTCTTATTTTTAGTATATTTTAATTCCGTTTAATTTATTTATAATACTTTTAAAAATATTATATTTAAATAAAATAAAATAATACTTAATAAATTTTTTGTCAAATCGTATTTGACCTAAATGTTACATTCAAAATACTTAAATGTTGCTACTACCTCGAACAGTAATAACATTTCAAGATACCAATTCTTTACTATGTTATAAAATTAAACAAGTCTTCCATACTGTATTATGACTTCAAAACTTTTGGTATTACGTTAAAAATCCGATTCAATCTTATGAAAAAAAACAAGGTTTAGCTTTAGTTCTCTTAATTACAATATTATGCTAATTGTAATTAAGAAAACGAAATGATCGCCATATGAATCATTCTCAAAGCCTATGCCTCAGACCGTCCTAGTTCTTAAAATTTTCCACACGGTTCAAGTGGAAGAACTTGCTTTCGGTAATGAAGGTTGGCATCATCGGCAACAGGCATCTAATGCATCACTATGATACAGTAGAAAGACATGAACTGGATTTGAATCCCGTCCACAACAATCTGTGGAAGACTCTTATACCAGAAACCAAAGAGCAGAGACGGAAATCAAAACCTAGAAGAAATAGGAATAGAAGCATAAGATAGCAGCAAGGATGCGTCAGATAGACTGCTTTCAGCACCCATAGTAATGCATCAGACAGGGATAACTGTATTGCATTCATGGTCTCATCATCCACAACTTTGCTGTCACCAAGAAAAGCCTAAGCAATCCATAAACTAAAATTAAGCGAAAGAAAGAAGAAAGCACGTAGAAGGGATCTATCAGATCTTCCTATTCGATCGAAAGCAAAGATCATCGCACCCAATCTAGCGAATTGGATGCATCCTTCCCAGAAGTGCTCATCATTTAGAACCCCAACAAGAGAGAATAAGTGGAGAAATGGAGGACGACCTCACCTCAAGAGGAGGAGGAGGCGGAGGCGGAGGCGTGGGAGACGATTGCGAGATTGAAAGTGGGGAGGCTATTTAAAGAGGCGCCATCGGATAGTTGGGAGAATTAGGGTTTTAATGTGCCTCATGATCGTGACCGTTGGATTACCATCATATCTGAAGTATGCGTTGTTGATGGATCGGATCGAATTCCGTCTGATTCCATCCGAACAGATATCCACCGTCGGATTTGGACCCTTGAAAAAACCCTAAAACTCGATAACCCTTCTCACCGATTCTTCGACCGCTCCTCTGCAACCTCGTCTCCTTTCCAACCCCAGCGGAAACCAGAGGTTCCCGATCTCTGTCTGGTAAGGTTTTTTCCATTCCTCCGCTTGCTTGGACTGAGATCTTTGTTTTTTGCTTTGATTGGGTCGTTCATAGGCGCTATTAACTCACTTCTGTCTTATTCTTTAGCAATTGTTGACTACATCTTTGCATGTTCTTGGTAGCAGCCGACGATGCTAAAAATCAAAACCCCCAAGACGCATCGAGCTAAACGTGAGATCGAAAAGCGCGCTCCGAAATTTGTGAGCAAGTCATTTAGATACTGTTTAACTTTCAGGTGAGACGACTCGGAGAACGTGATATGTGAGGAGCTATTACTTGTGTTTCTGTAGGTTGAGAATGGCAAGAAAACACTGATACTTCATGGCACAAAGACGAGTGATGTGTTGAACACGGTGCTTACTCAAATTTATCATTTGAAGAGAGATAACGCTGTGAAGTACACAAAGAAGAATGAAAACATAAGGCCTTTTGAGAGTGGCGGCGAGACTTCTCTGGAATTTTTCTCCCTTAAAACTGACTGCAGTCTTTTTGTGGTGAGCTAAAAAAAAAAACCCTTCCTTGATGTTTTATTTGTAATTTGGTTGTAAATGATTGATAGATGTAGTTCAATGTTCAAAGACTCCAGCATGAAATTTTCTGTCATGTCTCTTGGCTGTGGTTCTACTGTTTGTTTGGTTGTTTCATGTTCTATTGTCCTGTTATATGTCTTAAATTTGCATTCCTCAATAAAATGAGCAAAGTTATGATAGTCTTATTAAGGAAGTGCTTGCTTATTTTGGGTGAAGTATTGCTGGATATATTCTTCAAGAACTTGGTATGTCTTTAGTATCAAGTTTAGCATCCATGACATAATTCTATAAATTTTTTTGCCAATATTGTCATCTCTTTTTTACCTCTTCTATCACAGATTAGCGAATCAAGTTTACCCCATTATATCTAACTCATCTGCATTTCCTTGCATTGATAAATGTCAATTCGAGGGTGTGAATTTGCTTGTGATGCTCTTTTTGTGTTTCCTAGTGACTAATACTAATCAAGGAATGGAGAGTAACAGTTGCACGTGGATCATCTTAGTTAATCTTGTTATTTCAATCATTGAAGATAGATTGTATCATTTGGTTCTGCAGTTCGGTTCTCATTCCAAGAAAAGACCAAACAATCTTGTTTTGGGGCGGATGTTTGATCATCATATTTACGATCTTGTTGAAGTGGGAGTTGAGAACTTCAGACCAATAGAATCTTTTGAGTATGACAAGAAATTAACTCCGCGGATTGGATCGAAGCCATTCTTTGCTTTTATAGGAGAAGGTTTTGAAAGCGTTGAAGAGTTGAAGCACTTGAAGGAAGTTTTGCTTGATCTTTTCAGAGGAGAGGTTAGTTTCCTGAAACATTGTCTATCGTGTATTTGTGCCGAAGTACTAAAGGGAGTTTATCATTCTTGCTAGTGCAGGTTGTGGAAAATTTAAATCTTGCTGGCATAGATCGTGTATTTGTATGCACAGCTCTCTCTTCAAGTACAGTGTTTTTAACCCACTGTGCTCTCCGTTTGAAAAGATCCGGCACGGCAATTCCTAGGATGGAACTGGTTGAAGTTGGACCATCCATGGACTTGGCAGTTCGGCGGCATCGGCTTCCTAATGACAGCTTAAAGAAAGAGGCAATGAAGACCACTTCTGAGCAACCTAAAAAGAAGGTATGTGCGACTACTAATTTAGTCCATAGCTGCTATTATGTTGTCAAGTGATGCTGTGAATACTGTATCTGTAATTTCATCTATTATATATTTTTTTCTTGTCCAGATGGCATCAAATGGTTGCCAATAAGACTAGATATACTATTTGAACTCTTGATAAATTCTTGGTTGTCCATATACCTCACTTTTTCAAGACTGATTGTAATATTCTTCTTGCAGATTAAAAACGTAAGCAGTGATGTACTGCAGGGTAAGATAGGGAAGATCTACATTCCAGACCAAAAGGTTAGGGTCTTCTCCTTCTTGGTTCTATTGGGTTTTAAGATAGTATCTTCAATAACGGCTATGTTTTGTTGCTCAAGGTTGGTGGTATTACACTATCAAGTGACGTTAAGGGACTGAAGAGGGAGCGACGCGAGGCTAAGAAAAGGAAAGTTGGAATAGAGAACGAGGCAAAGAAAAGGAAGACGGCATCGGATTAATGGGAAAGATCACAATTGTAACGAGTTACCAACGTGTTTCAGATCCCAAGTTAAAGCTGGTAGTGCTGATTGTTTTATGCAACAACATGTACAAGCTCAATTGAAATGCTTGTTGTCATTCCTTTGAAGTGTGTTTTAAAAATCCCCTGTTTATTAGAATTTAAGTATTTTCAGATGTCAACCGCTTTGATTCTCGATATAATTGATAAAATAGTTGGACATGATTGCAATGAACAAATGCAATATTCTTTTTGTTAATTTTCTGCAAATTATTTATCAGCAAAACTCATTAGTTAATGGATTATGACAATGGCATCAATCCTCTGAAAAATGATTGTGACTGTGTAATTGAATCATCGTGTCTCCCAGGGGACCAGAAATGAAGAGATGCTGACACCATCGAGAGTATAATACCGAAGACTGTATGTTGGTAACGACGAGCCTTATACGGCTTCACGAGTGCTGCTCTCGTCCGCCTCGTGGTATCGCATGTTGACGCTACCCCACGTTGTTTTGGTTGGCGCGTCCGTTTAAGAAGGCTTCTATGATGTGACGATAACAATGCTCTTAAAAGGAGAACGGACTCCGGAGGCAGCCGCACGTCGAGCGACGTGAGCGCGACTCCACGCCGTATCGGATCTCCATTGGTTCGTGCGCCTCTTGCAATAATTCCACGCACCCCCACGGGCAAAGGCAACGCTATGGATCGGCGGAGACCTCCATACGAAGGGGGGGAGACCGCGGGCCTCCCGAACACCGGTATGGAAACACGCGCGATCATTACCTTCCCTTTGTGCCCTTTTACGTACTTGGAAACGTAATCAACGCTGCTAGAGAGCGCGCACGATGACACGATGCCCCTGGGCCCCACACGGTCACACTGGGTAGCCTCGCATTTGTGAGCTTCCAAAAGCGCCTTTCTCTCTCTCTTTCTCTCTTATATCGCCACTGTTCTTGTCCAAATCGACGACTGTGTTGTGTCTCCTCCTCGCCCTTCTTATTGGGCTCGGTTGCGATGAATGGCATGGAGAAAACTGGGAATGATCCGATGCAGCAATTCCAGGGGAATGCGTTCCCCTCCATCTCCAAACAACTGCCTTCGATGACGAAGGGGCCGTACCCCGGCTTCCCTCCGGCGTCTCCCTCGCTGCCGACGACGGCCCATCGGTTGCCCCCTGCCTGTTCTCTCCACTCCCGCTCCCTCTCCCAGCCGGCGTTCTGCTCCCTGTCGCCACAGTCCTATCGCGCCGACTCCTCGCCGACCGCCTCCCTATCCGACTCCGTCTCCGTGGATGACCACGACGCCTCCGTCTCCCGCTCCCCGCCGCTTCCTCCCAAGGACCCCGCCGGCGTTACCCCCGCCAGAGATGGCCTTCCACCTCGCAAGGATCACCGGCACTCCCAGAGCGATGTCCCGTTCGCCTTCTTACCGTCATCACTGGCTGCGGGTGCCGCTCCCCACTCCGCGGGGTTCGTGATCTCTGCCAGGCCGCCGCCGGCGGGAACGAAGGGGGAGAGCCAATGGGACCGTGGATTGGGCGCCGATGGTGTCACGGGTAGCGACTTGTTCAGCGCTTATATGAATTTGCAAGGCTTCGATGCGCTAACTTCCTCCGAGGACAATCACGAGGATCTGAACAGCAGAGAGAGTGGATCCAAGACCAGTGTCGCTGGCAGTAGCGAGAACGAAGCAGATAGCAATTCTAAGAGACATGTCGGTGGTAGTAGTACAGTGTTGTGCGCCAACGATTCATCGAGGAAGGAAGGGATGAAACCAAGTTCTGAGGTCAATCCTGATATGGCGAACTTCAGTCACTGCAGGAGTCTTTCCATGGACCGTTTCACGGGGAAGCTCAATTACGAGGCGCCGCCGCCGAAGCTGCTGCCTTCTCCTGGAATACTAGCAGCGCAGAGTTCTAAAGCCAATTCATGGGACGGGGCTCCAAACACCTTCAGCTTAGAGTTTGGCAATGGCCAGTTTACTGGGGCTGAGATGAAGAAGATCATGGAGAATGGAAAGCTCATTGAGATGGCAATGACTGATCCCAAACGTGTCAAAAGGTTTATGTTTGTGTTCATAATTGAAGAAATCTTCTATTTATGTGATATCTGGCTGACTTGGTCTCTTAATCTCAGGATATTAGCCAACCGGCAGTCTGCTGCACGTTCTAAGGAGCGGAGGATGAAGTATATCGCAGAGTTGGAACACAAAGTGCAGGCATTGCAGACACAGACTACCACATTGTCAGCACAGCTGACTTTGTTGCAAGTGAGATATGGATTCTGTTTCTCAGTTCTCAGTGTCTTGAAACAGAGCTATAGCTGACATGAATGTGATTCGACCCATCTTGAAGATATTTATTCATTTTCTAGAGTTCCTTTCTTTTTGTCTGCAGAGAGACTCAGCAGGCCTTGCAAACCAGAACAATGAGTTGATGTTTCGTCTTCAAGCTATGGAACAACAGGCACAACTGAGAGATGGTAAGTGCTATAACTTGAGTAGTTGGTGTTTGGCATTTGATGTTACACTTGGATAGATAATTGCTTTAGCAAAGAGCTGCCATAGTTTGCATCCTGTAAATGGACAACATGTAGTTGGAAACTTCCTTATGTTCATGTAAGCCCGTGGTCTTTTAATTGGAGCCAGTTCCTAGGACCAATCCCACAAAGTTTATGCTACTGTGTTTGTTCTGGTAGGTGACTTGTTATGAGCATCCAAATGATGGCTTATATGTTGGTCCCCATGAATGCATCAAATTCCAAGATGTATAAACACAATGCTTTAAAATGTTGGGTTATATATTCAGTGCATTGGTCCTGAGGCCACACAAGTCTCTTGTTAACTAAAGAAGGATATATCTTCTACAGAAAGATAATTTTGGCTTTCCTGTCCCTGTTGTGGTAACCTGTAATGATATTATGTTGTCTGTTAGATTCATGAATCACCCGAGTGATTCTGGAAATAGTAGCAATAAAACCAATGAAAATTTAGATGAACTTGCTAATTCAAGCGACCTGTAGAATAGGCAGTTCTGGAAATACTAGCAATAAAACCAATGATAATTTATCTGAATTTACCAATTGTAGAATAGGCAGTTCTTGAAATAGTAGCAATAAAACCAATGATAATTTAGATGAAATTACCAATTGAAGTGACCTATAGAATAGACAGAGGGCACCTTTCTGAAATATTGTTTTACAAAATAATTTGGCCTTCCTCAGTTAGGTAAACTATTCCCCAAACTTTAGTTTCTGGACACTGTGCATGTATGTCTGATCAAATAGAGAAGAAACCAAGTCACTTTCTTTCCTAACCTTTATTTCTAATTCATAAGACCCTGTGTTTTTTCTTAAATAAATTGATTCTAACTTGAAAATTTCCCCATCTTAGAGCTGCAAAATATGCTGGTTTTGAGTTTTTTTTTTACATAATAGTTCCCCATGATTCCATATTATATTTTCTGCTTAATTAGCTTCTACATGTCACACATGAAGAGACATGAGGACTGTAACTTGTTCCTATGTCAAAAACATCCAGTTTAAGGATTGATGGCTCTCGTGGTATCACTAGATAGTTATGATTCCAGAAGGGGTAGTATGTGATAGCTGCGGTGTGCTGCAATAGAAAGGCTGAATTCATGGGAACAGTGTAGTACATGTCCTTGTATGCAGTGACTACACACCAATCTAAATTTACAAGTACCTTCACTGACATGGTATAAACTAAGGATAGTAGTGGGTGTGGTTCTTTATAATTTCAAGCCTGCCTGATTTGTATAAACCAGGATTGGATATCAAAGAAGCAGATTCGGGACCAAATTTGGAGGGTGATGAAGAAAGTTGTTGATTTTAGTTGTCTATAGCCAAACCCATGCTTATGAGAAATGGACTGGGTGTTCTCATTGGTTCTTGAATATATATATTTTTTGTATATTTGAGATTCTTTTTCCAACATCATCAGCAGTCTACTAGTAAAAAATTATTATTATTATTATTATTTCTCTTGTCTCCTGAATGTTTGTGGGGGAGAAGTGAAATTGTGAAGTAGAGCAACCAACCCAATGTTCCTCATTAGACTTACACTCAAAGTATTATCTTACAATTAAATTGAAAAACAATGAAGTCAATTCATATTCTAAGATTAAATCTATTGGTTATAGAAAAACTTGTCCTTACTATTGAAGACCAAGCCAAATACACATCAAGCCTCCCTAAATTATTTTCTGCTGTTCTGTATTGCTTTATCTCTGGCTAATTTTAAAGAAATTGTGTTGTCCTAAGGTTCATATATCTAGGAGCAATTGCCAGCTTTCTTTTATGAGGGGGCAGTAATGCTCTTAGGGTCTTTGTTCAGATGCCATCTCCTAACTTGATATTCTAGGTTTTGTTTATGTAACATGTTTTCCTAATGCCATTACTTTTTTTTTTTGTTATTGCTGGATTTAAATTTCAAATTAAAACTAGAAAAACACATGATAAAGATTGATACGCGAAGATTGATAAAGGAATGAGAGAATAGCAGCCAAGTAAATAAAAGAAAAGTCTAAGCATAGTTTGATCTACCCTTATAAACAAAACAATTGAATCATACATAAATAGAGGAGATGTTATGAGATATTCAGTAAGGTAAAAATTGAAAGAGGATTAAGAGAATAGTCTCACATTGATAAAAATTATAAGTATATATATTAGGTTTGACCCACAATTCAACAAGCTAAAATTTTAAAAATGAATTAGTTGATATAATAATTCATATATTGACTTTGGCTCGCAATTCAACAATCTTAGTTTTAGGTTAAATTAATGTCGAATCTGATATATAATTTCTAATTAGTTAGCAAAGTACTCATTCTATGAATGCCGCATTACTTACCTGATGCATATGCGTTCCAGTCCTGATAAACCGATGTGATGAGTTTGCTTGCTGCTAACTTCTTAGCGCTGATATTATTATATGATTCAATCTACCTTAGTCATAATGCAGTGAATTATGTTGTTGTGCCATTGTGCAGCTCTAAACGAGGCTCTGACTGGTGAAGTCCAGCGTCTGAAACTTGCTGCTACCGGGCTGGCTGATGCTCATCCTTCGAATGACTTGCACCGGCAAACATCAGCTAATTCTCAGATGTTTCAACCTCAGCCGAAGCAGCAACTTCCACATACGCCTCTCTACCAACTGCAGAAACAGCAGACTGACACAGCAATGGGGAACAGGTCACAGCAATAATTTCACCAGCAAACAAGGATTTGGAT